AGCTTGTCAAGTGCTTTTCTTGTGAGCATCAGCTAATCGGAGCAACAGCAGCCTTTCACACTCAAGCTGCCTCTTCTCTTCTTTGTTTCCACAAGTAGCTTGTAAAGTTTGTAGAACAGGAATTTCCCAGCGGGACCTCAAGCTCAGAGAGGTTAGGTGATGTTCCTGGGTTACACAGCTGGGGCTGGAAGAGCAAGGCTAGTGTCTGGCCTTCTGCTATCAAATCCAGAGCATCTCCCAGCCCACGGTACCCCTGTGTCGGCCTCCACTCCCTCCTCACCCTTTGACAGGGGCTCTGTGTGCTGGGCACTGGTACGGGATAGTTGGGTAGCCAGTGGGCCTCAGTGTTTCCCTCTGTGAAAAGAGAGGGTATGAGTTGATTAGAGAGGACTTCTTGGCATGGGGACCTGGATTCTAAAGATATCACAGGGTATCATGGAGTGTAAGAGGACAAAAACCATGAGAATTATGAATGCCCTCTCTTCACCCCAGTCAAGCCTCACAGGCCCATATTTTAAAGTCTCTTCTGTTTGCTTTTGCCTGAAGATCAATCAACTCTAGAAGTAACACAGCCTCTAACCTGCCCATCTGGGGCTCTGATTGGCTGCTGATGACATTGTGGGGATAGCTGGGAGATGATTGGTGGGTGAGAAGTCCAGGTTGGGTGGAAGGAGGTGTGTGGTGAGAGGTCTGGTGTTCCTGCCTGGGCAGCTCTGTGGGTCTGTCCAGTGGGCCTGGGGGGTGGTGGTGGTGGAAGATAGGTTGGCAGAGAGGCCCCCTCTTTGTTGGGGTGAGCCCTCACTCTCAACATGTAGCAGTTCCCTGGTGTTATGGATTGAATTGTGTCCCCCTAAAATGTGTCAACTTGGCTGGACCATGATTCTCAGTATTATGTAATTATGTGATCTGATGCAATGATCACCTCTGTGATGTTAATGAGGCAGGATTAGTGGCAGTTATGTTAATGATGCAGGATACAATCTGTAGGGTTAGATTGAATCTTGAGTCCATCTCTTTTGAGATATGTTGTTGTTGTTATGTGCCCTCAAGTCAGACTCGACTGATAGCGACCTCTCCTTGGGTTTCCCAAGCAGTATCACTATGGAAGTAGACTGCCCAAACTTCCTTCCTAGGAGTGGCTGGTGGGTTTGAACCACCAGCCTTCTGGTTAGCAGTCAAGTGCCTTAGGCACTATGCCACCAGAGCTCCCTTTTTGAGATATGTTGTTGTTGTTGTTATGTGCGGTCGAGTCGGACCCAACTCATAGTGACCCCTCCTTGGGTTTCTGAGGCAGTATCACTATGGAAGTAGATTGCCCCATCTTCCTTCCGAGGAGGGGCTGGTGGGTTTGAACCGCCAGCCTTCTGGTTAACAGTCAAGTGCCTTAGCCACTATGCTACCAGAGGTCCCTTTTGAGATATAGAAGGGATTAAACAAATGAACAGAGAGAGAGGAACTTCCACCACCAAGAAAAAAGAGCTGGGAGCAGAGCATGTCCTCTGGAGAAACTGCTAGACCCAGGGGAAGGTTGATGACAAAGACCTTCTCCCAGAGCCAAGACAGAGAAAAGGGACTTCTAGGCAATATCTCTTTGTTAAAGCCATCCACTTGTGCTTTTTCTGTCATAGAGCACTACAGAGCCAAGACACGTGGGCTCATCTGGAGCTTCTGGGGAGGCAGGGAGGTTGAGGGGTGGTCCCTGCTTTGGAGGTGGGGACCTCCATCATGCCCAAGAAGAGGAAGTTTCCCAGGGGCCCTCGGGGCAAGGGGCAGGGTTGGAGTCTGATCCTAGGTCTGTTGGTCAGGATCACCAGTGGCACACTCTCAGGGTTGCCATTCCTGTGGGATCCTGCGTGCAATGAATGCCAGGGCCCGGTGCTGTCCCCAGGGCCTGTGCTCTTGCCTGCATATGGTGCCCCTGCTCTGTGTCCTAGTGTCCTGGGGCTGCGATAACCAAGCACCACAGGTTGGGTTGCCTATGCAAGCAGGAATCCACCCTCTTTCAGCTCTGGAGGCGGGAGTCCGAGCTCAGGGTGTCGGCCATGTTGATTCCATCTGAGTGAGGCTCTGAGAGAGAATCGTTCCTGCTCCCTCCCAGCTTCTGCCGGCTGCTGGTTCTCCTTGGTGTTTTTTGGTTGCTCGTAGATGTATCTCCACATGGTATGTGACTGTCTCTGTGTCTCTTCCAAGACTTCCATCCTGTTCGAAACGGTTCAGTCATGGCCGACGGAAACAAGGGCAGCATGCGTGCTGTATAGCAATCAAATATCTTGCAATGACTTTTGACCCAAGTAGGGAATAGGCAGGAGCCTTGGTGGTGCAGTGGTTAAAGTGCTCGACTTCAAACCAAAACATCGCCTGTTTAAATCCACCAGCCCCTCCATGGAAGAAAGATAAGGCAGACTGCTTCTATAAAGATTTATAGCCTTAGAAACCCTATGGGGCAGTTTCACACTGGCCTATAGGGTTGCTATGAATCAGTATCAGTGGGTGTGGTTTGGGCTTTGCTTCTGTAAAGATTACAGCCCTGGAAACCCTCTGGGGCAGTTCTACTCTGTCCTGCGGGGTGCTATGAGTCAGAATCGACTCAACAACTGTGAGTTTTTGGCTCTGTGAGTTTTTGGCTCTGGTTAGAAACATGCAGCAGTGCTTACTCAAAGATGCTGCGGTCAGCAACCATCCTTGAGTGGGGCCCACCGCCTGGTTCCTACTTGGGTCAGAACCCATCAAGCAAGAGATTTGATTACTGTGTGACAGGTATGCTGCTCTTGTTTCTGTTGACTATGACTGAACGTCATTTCGAACTGGTTGGAAGCCCTGGTCTCTTCTCTTTTATAAGGACACCACTCAGAGGGCTTTTGGACTTGCCCTACTCCAGTGTGACCTCATGGTCACTTAACTGATAACTCCTTCAGACTGATAACTAATCTTTTCTAAACAAGGGTCTGTCTCACAGTATGGGGGTTAGGACTTCAACATACTTTTTTGGGGACACCGTTCGATCCGTAACCATCTGTCTCAGACTGTCGGGTTGCTCCGTGAACCTTCTAGCCTCTGGTGGCTTGAGGCAGCATCGCTTCAGTCTCTGCCTCAGCTGTCAGTGGCCGTCTGCCCTCTGAGTCTCTTCCCTTCTTCCATAGGATCCACTCGGATGGGATCAAGACCCGCCTGACTCCAATGTGACCTCGGGTTAACTTAGCTGATAGCATCTGCAAAGACCCTCTTTCCAAGCACATTCCCCTTGAGAAGCACTAGGGCTAAGACTTCAGCATGTCTTGTGGGAGGACGTGGTGCAGCCTCAACCCTTTCCTCCCACACCTTGCTCAGTTTCCCTCTCTTGTTTCCAACCCTCTCCCTTGGGAGTTTGGTTCTACGGCCATTCAGAGGTGGCCCTGTTCCAAGGACTGTTCTCTCTCTCCCACTCGGGTTCCCAAAGTCTGAGCCAAGATGCTGTCGGCTGTCCAGGAGGAGCCTGGATTCGTGAATGGGCACAAAGAGCCAGCCAAACGGAGCTGGAGGGGGTGGGGAGAGGCTTAGCGTGGCTGGGGGCCAGCTGGACTCGGGACTATCCTTCGCCACTGGGGGACAGATAGACAGGCCCCCTTTGTCTGGGTGCCTGGGCAGACCTCTTTGGTCCTCTTTCTCAGGGACTCAGGGTCACGGTGACGGGCACCAGCCCAGGTGGGTGGGGGTCCTGCCGGGTGGGGGTGCCGGGGCTCATTAACTCCAGGAAGCTGCATTTTTCTTCGGGGGCTGCAGGCCCAGCCACTGGATGTAGGCTGAAGCAGAGAGGAGGCCGAGCCCCAGGCCGGCCCCGGCTCCTGCCCAGAGGTGGGAGGGGAGGAAAAGCCAGTTTCGAGCGGCCAGCCTTGGACCTGGGGCAGGACCTGCCCTGAGCTCAAATCTCAGAACGTTCAACGAAGAATTACCTCCTGTTGCTGCCGGGCGCTGTTGGGTCAGTTCCGGCTCCTGGCAACCCTGCCTGGCCCCGCGCCGGCCTCACGATCGTCGCCATGTTTGAGCCCTGATTGCAGCCGCTGTGTCAGGCCATCTCGTTGAGTGTCTTCCTCTTTTTCTCTGACCCTCTGTTTTACCGAGCATGACGTCCTTATGACCCAGCAGTCCCACTGTTAGGACTGTAAACCCCCAAGAATTGGAAGGTGGGACTCAGATACATATGCACCAAAGCCCGGAGCACCTTCCCAAATGCCAAAAGGTGGAAACAACCCAACTGTCCGTCCACGGATGATGGATAAACACAATGTCTGTCCACACGGTGGGTTATACTTGGCAGTAGAGAGAAGGAAGCCCTGGTTTATGCTACGACACGGAGGAGCCTTGAAAACATGCCAAGTGGACTGAGTGGGACACGAAGGGGGAATATTGCATGAGACCACATACATGAAGTATCCACATACATGAAGTATCCACATACATGTAGTGTCCACATACATGAGGAAAGGGCAGGGAGAGGGAGTAGATTGGAGGTTACTGGGGCTGGGGGAGGAGAGAAAGAGGAACTGTCCAATGGCACTGAGTTTCTCGTAGGATATGGGGTGTACCTGACTTATTTAACTCATCTGTTGTTGGGAGCTGTTGAGTCGATTCCGACTGAGTGGGCCCCATGCAGAGTGAAAAAGCCTCATAGGGTTTCCCAGGCTGGGACGAGTATTTGTCACCTACCGTGTGTGGATCCGACTCATAGAGACCTCTCCTTGGGTTTCCGAGAGGGTATCACTGCAAAAGTACATCGCCCAATCTTCCTTCTGAGGAGTGGCTGGTGGGTTTGAACCACCAGCCTTCTGGTTAGCCAGTCAGGTGCCTTAGGCACTGCGCCACCAAGGCTCCTAATATTTGTCTTAGTGTATAGTATATAGAGGAGGTACTATGCCTTTCTCCACATGAAGAATATTGAAGAAACACTTCCAGATACACCCCAACATCTTTACCGTAATAATGCAGCCATAATAATAATGTTTTGATGATTGATATTACAAACCATGTATGTACCACAAATTTTTGACATAGGGTTGGTTCATAACTATAAGTTGCACTAATTCAGATGTTCGTAACCAACGGGTCTGGCTGTACTTTTTTTCTTAACTTTTTATTGTGCTTTGAGTGAAATTTACAAAGCAGATTCATTCTACACTTAATAATTCAGACATATTTTGTTTTATGACACTGATTACAGTCCCCATAACATAACGGCCTCTTCCCATTTCCTTCCTGTGGTTACCCTTGCCCTGTGTCCTTTATTTTTATTTTTATTGTGATTGGGTGAAAGTTTACACAGCCGATTAATTTTCCACACAGCAGTTCATACACATTTTGTTTCATGACATTGACTCCAATTCCCCACAATGTAACAGCTCTCTTCCCACTTCCTCCCTTTAGTTACCTCTTTCCTGTGCATTCCGGCCTCCTGAGCTGTCTCCCTGTACAAACACTGCCCTTCTATTCTCCCAGGATTGATCGCCCTAAGGAGTTTATCTACCTGATGTAAATGTTCACCCTGTATGTCTATTGTTTGGCTGCAAGCCACAGGGGTGAGTTCCATTCCAGACCTGAAGGGTAACTAGGGGCCATAGTCTCAGGGGTCTAACCAGGCTCTATCAGACCAGCAAACCTGGTAATTTTTTTTTTTTATGATTTTGAGTTTTGTTCCACATTGTTCTCCCACTCTATCCAGGACCTCCTTCACTGACCCTCCTCTGAGTGGTTGACATTGGTAGCCAAGTTGGCTAGAACATTCAAATACATACCCTCCAGGGAACTAAGGGTGGTGACTGAGTCACACCCTCCAGCAAGGTAGGACTCAAGGTCCATCCACCCTAATCCTCCTCATCAACACAGCAGACAACCAGCACTACAGGCCTGGAGGCTAGGGTCTACAGTGCACCACGGAAGAGAGGACCCTGGCTGGAAGGGGTTCGCTGCACTGCTGTGTATTTCTCCCCTTTTTATACTTTATTTAACTTTTTGCTGTTGTTCAGACGTGCACAGCACCACACAGATCCCTTCAACCGTTTCTCCACGTCATTCAGTGACACGGGTGACATCCTTCCAGGTGTTCAGCCACGGTCACTCACGGCCCCTCAAGCCTCTGATCTATCAGTTGTCACTTTGTGTGTTTACAGATAGTTTTACAACCACAACGGTGATAATAATGGCAAAAAAGAAAGAAAGGAAGATAGGGGCCCGGGGTCCCTGTCAGGGACCGGCGGCTCGGCCACTGGCTGAGCAGCTGCTCGGTCGGGCACTGTGTGGGCACTTGAGCCATGTTTGCTCACCATGCCTGCAACATCATCACCTTGTACAGGACGAAGGGGCCCTGGGGGCGCAGCGGTTAAGCAGATCAGTGGGAGAAAGGCCTGGTGATTTGCTAACATAAAGATGACAGCTTAGGAAACCCTGTGGGGCGCTTCTACTCTGTCACACAAGTCACTAGGAGCTGGAATTGACTTGAGGGCACCCAACAGCGGCAACAAAGCAGCATATACTCAAGGACACCTGAGCCCAGAGAGGTTAAGTAATTTCCCCCAGGTCCTACAGCTTCTAAGCGGCCACACGGGGACTTTCACCGGCTGTGTCTGGTTCCGAAGCCTGTACTTCCCTCAGTTCAGGAGGAGAATTCAAAGTTCTCTGAATCCAGAATCCAGGCTTCAGGATCCAGTCTCCGGAGGCCTGGTGTCCTTTGGGAGCCCTCTGCACTGAGCGGAACTCCCCCACCCCCATCGATGATGTCCTGGTGGCGGCTGGTCACCTCAGCTCCCAGGGTTGGTCACAGCATGGCATTCTGTTCTCAGGTGAGGAGGAGGAGCCCACTTCTGTAGTTTAATCAGTGATTGCCGACTGGGAACTGGGAACGGGCAGCTCCCCACAGTCTTGAAGACCTGGCTCTGCTGTAAAGCATCCTAAATACTCTCTCAGCATTTCATCTGTTAAAAACTACTTCCTGCTCCTGACATGGCTGGGAGCTATGGTGGAGCAGTGGGTAAAGTACTCGACTACTAGCCAAAATGTTGGTGGTTTAAACCCAACAGTCATTCTGCGGCAGAAAGATGTGGGTGGCTGTCTGCTTCCACCAAAATTTGTTGTTGTTGTTGTTATGTGCCATGGAGTTGGACCTGAGTCATAGCGATCCCTCCTTGGGTTTCTGAGGTGGTATTACTAAGGAAGTAGATTGCCCAACTGTCCTTCTGAGGAGTGGCTGGTGGGTTTGAACTGCCAGCCTTCTGGTTAGCAGTCAAGTGCCTTAGGCACTACACCACCAGAGCTCCCAATATATATTGATATAGATACAGATGTAGATATATACCCAAGAATATTAGTGGTTACCAAGGGCAGGAGGGAAGGGGAAAGAGGAAGCTTTTGTTTGGGGGGCACTGAGTTTATGCTAATGGTGGTGGGACATTTTGGAAAAGGACAGCAATAATGGTGGCACAACATGAAAAATGTCCTCATGTCCCTGAGCTGTAAATAGGGAAGTTGTTATGTTGGTGAATGTCTTGTGTATATTTTCACCACAAGAAAAGTTAAAAAAAAAAGATTTACAGTCTTGGAAACCCTGGGGTCAGTTCTAGCCTGTCCTGTAGAGGAGCTGTGAGTCGGGATCGACTGGGTGGCAGTGAGTTACGCCATGGATGAGCCTTGAAGACAGATGGAGAGTGAAATAAGCCAGGCACAAAGAACAAACATTATATGTCAGCACAACCTGACCGAGGCAAAAGATGGCACTAAGAACCACACGAGAATAAGGAACAATTTTGGTTAAAGCCACAACATACACAATTTTTCAAAAACAGTAAGAAGAACCAAAAATGTGTGTGTGTTACATAGGCGGATGCGTGTTTATATATGTCTAGCATATGCAGATACAGTGGCCCTTTGTATTCCTTCTGTCTTCCATAGATGTACTATACATATATATGTACTGTACATGTATGGAAGATGGAAGGAATACACAGAGTCACTGTACCAAAAAGAACTGGTCAACATGCGTCCATTTCAGGAGATGGCATATGATCAAGAACCAATGGCACTGAAGGTATTGGTGAAAAACAAGGCTCCAGGAATTGATTGAATAGTAATTAAAATGTTTTTACAAATCGATGCAATGCTAGAAGCATTCGCTCATCTATGCCAAGAAATTTGGAAGACAGCTACCTCGCCAACTGCCTGGAAGAGACCCATATTTGTGCCTATTGCAAAAGAAATTATCCATCAGAATGTGGAAATTATTCAACAATATCATTAATATCACACGTAAGTAAAATTCTGCTGAAGATAATTGAAAAATGCTCACAGCGGTACATTGATAGGGAACTGCCAGAAATTGAAGCTGGATTCAGAAGAGGACGTGGAATGAGGGATATCATTGCTGATGTCAGGTGGTTCTTGGATGAAAGCAGAGAATAGCAGAAAGATATTTACCTGTGTTTTATTGACTATGCTAAAGCATTCCACTATGTGGATCATAACAAATTATGGACAACTTTGTGAAGAATGGGAATCCCGGAACACTTAATTGTGCTCATGTGGGACCTGTACATAGACCAAGAGGCAGTTATTTGAACAGAACAAGGGGATTCCATATGATTTAAAATCAGGAAAGATGTGCATCAAGGTCGTATCCTTTCACCATACTTATTTAATCTGTATGCTGAGCAAATAATCTGAGAAGCTGGACCATATGAAGAAGAACGCGGCATCAGGATTAGAGGAAGACTTATTAACAATCTGTGATATGCAGATGGCACAGCGTTCCTTCCTGAAAGTGAACAGGTCTCGAAGCACTTACTGATGAAGGTCAAAGACTATAGTCTTCAGTATGGCTTAAATCTCAACACAAAGAAAACAGAAGTCGTCACAACTGGACCAATAAGAAATATCATGATAAATGGAGAAAAGATTGAAGTCGGCAAGGATTTCATTTGACTTGGATCCACAATCAGTACCCATCAAACCAGGAGTCAAGAAATCAAACAATTTATTGCATTGGTCAAATCTGCTGCAAAAGACCTCTTTAAAGTGTTGGGAATCAAGCCATGGTCTTGTCAGTTGCCTCATGGGCACATGGAAGCTGGACAAGGAATAAGGAAGATCGAAGAAGAATTGATGCCTGGAAGTATGGTGTTGGTGAGGAATACTGACTGTACCAGAAGAACAAACAAATCCGTCCTGGAGGAAGTACAGCCCGAATGCTCCTTCGAAGTGAGGATGACAAGACCTCGACTCACATTCTTTGGCTGTGTTGTCAGGAGGAATCAATCCTTGGAGAAGGACATCATTGGTGAGGTAGAGGATCAGCAAAAAATAGGATGACCCTCAATGAGATAGATTGACAAGTGGCTGTGACAAGGAGCTCAAACATCGCAGTGATGATGAAGATGGTTCAGGACTGGACAGTGTTTTGTTCCATTGTACACAGGGTTGCTAGGGGTTGGAACTGGCTTGACGGCACCTAACAACAACAGCATAATGATGGTGACAACAGCTTAGAGAGGTGAGCACATGAGAATACAAGGATGAGCGTGTGCAGGGGTTGCTGTACAGAAATGTGTAAACCTGCTTGTGTGTACTGCATATGTATTCATGTATAAGGTGAAGCACACAGGGGCACACCTGTGACGCTGCTAGATGTAGCCAACACCTCATGGGATTGGGTTACCGGGTTTGAGGGCTTAGGACCATAGTCTCAGGGGCAGCTTGGTCAATATCGGTATTACAGAGCTCATATTGATAACATTCTACATCCTAATTGGGTTAAAAGCACCTTGCGAGCGGCCATCTAAGATACAGCTATTGGTCTTGACGTGTCTGGAGTGAAACAGAAAGAAGGAAACCAGAGACTCAAAGAAGATACTAGTCTGCAGGACTAATAGTTTACACGGACTGTGGCTTCACCTGCCTTGAGATCTGTAGACCTAGATGGTACTCGGCCATCACTCCTGACTGTTCTGACCAGGGACACAGTAGATGGTCCCAGATAGAATGAGAAAAAAGTGTAAAACCAAACTCAAATTCCCCAAAGAGGTCAGGATTGCTGGCCCAGTACAGATGAGAGGAACTCCTGAAACTCTTCCTGGGACACCCTTCAAACTTGAAACTCGAACCACTCCTGGAGGTAACCTATCAGCCAAAGGACAGAGTGGTTCATGAAACAGGCAGTGTTACCAGTGAGTACTGTGCTCCTTTAAACGGTCATCTGACTGAGATCTAACATCCTGAAACAAAGGTGAGAAGGTGAGGGGGTGGGCAAGGAAGCTAGATTAATGGAAACAGAACAACCAGAATGGAAATACTGAGAATGCTGAGACACTGTGAAAAGTGAAACCAGTGTCACCAAATAATCTGTATAGAAATGGTTAAAGGAGAACTGAATTTGCAATGTAAATTTTCTCCAGAATCACTATCTATCTATCTTTCTTTCTATGTATGTATCTATCTATCTACCTACCTACCTACCTACCTATCTATCTATCTACCTACCTGTCTATCTATCTAAACTTGATCCAGGAATTTGGGGCAAGATGAGAGAATTGTTATCTGTCTTGGTTACAGTGGTACTCACACAAGTCTGCATTTCCCCAAACTCATAAAACTCTAGCCAACAAAAATGACTGCAAATTTTGCTTAGATTTCCAATTTGTTTTTTAAAAGTTTCTTTTTCAGAGTGGTTTTAGGTTCACAGGAAAGTTGTGCAGGAAGTACAGAGTGTTCCTCTCTCCCCCTCCCCACTGCTCACTGTTCATGCGTTGACTTCTTGCGGTCCGGTGATACGTTAATTGCAACCTGATGAACCAATAGTGAAGTGTTGTTATTAACGACAGTCCATGGTTGACATCAGAGCTCTGGTGGCATAGTGCCTAAGACATTTGAGTGCTGACCAGAAGATTGGCGGTTCAAACCCACCAGCCACTCCTCAGAAGGAAGATTGGGCAATCTACTTCCGTTAAGATTTACCGCCTCGGAAACCCAAGGAGGGGTCACTATCAGTCAGAATCTACTCAATGACAGTGAGTTGGGTTTTTTTTTTGTTTTTCATAGTTGACATCAGGGTTCACTGTGTTGTACTGTCCTACTCATTTTGAGAAATCATTAATGCCATGTGTCTACCGTTTAGTGTGTGCCAAGATTTTATGCTTTTTATTAAAAAAGAAAAATCATGTTAAATATGTGTCAGAAGCCCTAGTGACTCAGTGGTTAAGTGCTCAGTTGTGCAGCGAAAGGTCAGTTGTCCAAAATACCCAGCAGGTCCACGAGAGGGAAGACCTATGATCTGCTCCCCTAAGATCACAGCCTGGGAATCCATACAGGGCCGTCCTGCTCTGTCGCACGGGGTCTCTGAGTCGGAATCCACTCCTTGGTGCCCAACGACAAACATACATACGTAACAAAACATTTGCTGTTTCACCATTCTTCAATTCAGTGACATTGATTATGTTGTTTGATTAATAAATTATGTTGTTCAACCACCACTAGTCTCTGTTCCCAAATTTTTCCATCTCTCTGAACAGAAGAAGCTCAGTGTTGCGACTGTATGCCAATTAAAAAATGGAAAAAAAATGGAATTCATTGTCCTCTTAAAATGCCTGACTCGAGGTTCAGGCCCTAAGGGGTTAAAGGGCCAGTGCTCAGTTCCTTGGGGTTGTGGGAATTCTCTTTCTTGGGCCGGTTGTTCCTGGCCCCCCTGCGCCTGCCTGCCAGCCTCTTTCTCTCTCTTGCATTCAGTGGCTGCAGCTCCGGTGAGAGACAAGGAAAGTTTTGTGGACTGCAGAAATAAAGGAATAACTGCTGGTCCAGGGTCGCTATGGCAACTGTGACATCACACCCACCCAGCCAGTACATGTTAAAAGAGAAGAAAGAGCATCCAGGGAGGAGGGCCAGGTCACAGGTGGGAGAGGGCTGCCCCCAGCCAGCGATGCAGAGCAGGAATTATCATCCAGCCGTGGAGCACTTAGGGGCCCCATCTACGGACATTAACCTAAGTGCGCTTTTGGGCCCAGAAATTGCATTTTTAGGAACTGGTTAAAACATACACATCTGGTGGTGCAAAGAATTAACATTCTTGGCAGCTAACCAAAAGGTTGGTGGTTCAAATCTACTCAGGGAGGCCTCAGAAGAAAGACTTGGTGATCTCCTTCCGAGAAATCAGCCATGAAAAACTCTGTGGAGCCCGTCCTGCTCTGACCCACGGGGGGCGCTGAGTCAGAGTCGACTCAATGCTAAGTCTAAAACCCGCCCTGTTAACCACTCAAATGTACAATTGGGCGACATCAATCCCATTCACCGTGCTGTGAACCATCATTGCCGTTCAATTCCAGAACCTTCTCATTACCCCAAATCAAAACCGTATCCATCAGGCATGAACCCCCTACTCCCCTGAGCCCTTGCCCACAGCACCACTAATCTACTTTCTGCCTCTGCTTCTACATGTTTCACGTAAGTGGGATCACACGGTATTTGTCCTTTCGTATCTGACTTCTGTCACTCAGCGTCACAAGGTCAGGGTTCATCCATGTCGTAGCTTTGTTAGAACTTCATTTCTCTTCATGGTGGTGTAATAGTCCATTAGGAGCTCTGGTAGCGTCGTGCCTAAGGCACTTGACTGCTAACCAGAAGGTTGATGGTTCAAACCCACCAGCCACTCCTCGGAAGGAAGGTTGGGCAATCTACTTCTGTAGTGATACCGCCTCGGAAACCCAAGGAGGGATTGCTATGAGTCAGGGCCGACTCGACGGCCTGACTCGACGGCACACAACAACAACAACACTAGTCCATTGGGTGGATGGCCACGTTGTGTGTGTCCAGTCGTCTGCCAGTGGACACTTGGCTGGTGCCACCTTTGGGCCGCTGTGGCCAGTGCTGCTGTGAACACTGGTACACGTGCATCTGTTTGTCTTCCTTCTTTCAAAGTAGTTTTCATCTTTAAAGAAGAAAGTCACCTCTCTGTGTCTCTGTGGATCTGTGTCCAGTGGAAATGAGTATATATGTCACCAAAAGACACGCATTCGAATGTTTGTAGAGTTCCTCATCGTAGCCCCAAGCCAGAAACAACCCAAATGCCCCACAGCAGGTTGGATAGATGTTGTTAGATGTTGTGGAGTTCGGCTCCCACTCATACCAACCCCGTGTACAACAGAAGGAAACACTGCCCGGTCCTGTGTCAGCCTCACAGTCCTTGCTATACCTGAGCCCATCGTTGCAGCCACTCTGAGAATCCATCTCGTTGAAGGTCTTCCCCTTTTCAGTGACCTTCTACTTTACCGAGCATGACAGATAGATCGTTGCATGTTCATCTGACAGAATACGCAGTGGACTGCAACCAAACAGCCGCTGATACATCCAGCCACGTGGAGGAACCTCACAGAGACCGTGCTGGGTAAATGAGCTAGCCACAGAGGAGTGCTTGCTCCAGGACAGCTCAGAAGCAGCCTACCTGCCCCACAATGACGGTGTCAGATGGTGGCTTCCTTGGGGGACAGGTACTGACTGGAGGTGCACAAGAGAACCTTCTGGAAATGAGCTCTCCTTTGGTCTGAGTGGGGGCTATGTGGCTGGATGCATAGGGAGAAGTTGGTTGTGCTGACACTTGGTGAACTATGTGTAAGTTATATTTAAGTGAAAGATAGGAAAGGAGGAGAAGGCTGCACCCCACTATTTAACAATGTTTCACAATGTCACACTGGGGCTAAGGTTCTGAATATCACATCCTACAAAACTATTCAATTATCATCTGCTTGTGGCATATTAGGTTTATGTTAATGGTGTTGGAATACAGGTAGACCTTGGACCACCACAAAAAAGCGATTATTGCAATAAAATGGTCGCATGAATTTTTGGTTTCCTGGTACATGTGACAGTTATGCTAACTCGATACTGTGGTCTATGAGTGTGCAATCGCGTGATGAGAGAGTTCGAAGTATTGTGAGAATGACCCTGAAGGGACACACAGTCGCAAAGCGAGCACGTGCTGTTGGAAAAATGGCGCCCATAGACGGACTTGACACAGGGTTGCCACAAGCTCCACATTTGTAAATGACACCATATCTGCAGAGCACAGTAAAACGAGGTCTTGCCTGAGCCTCGGAAGAGGATAGTGATAACAGAGGCTCAGTGTGAAAAACGTTGTCCATGTTGTTGATGGTCGGTGTGGAAATTGGATTGGTGAAGGTTTGGGTGTGTATAATTTCACCACACACACAAAAAACAAAAACTCAATTATCAGGAAAAAACAGAGCGTATGTGTATGTGTGTGTGTGTGTGTGTCTTGCACAAGCAGGGGCGACCCCATGGCTGGTCACCCTCCCGGGAATTCTGTGACCGCAGCTGCCCTGGGCTTCCCCAGCTGAGCTTCTGGGAATTCCACTCTTCTTCTAGGTTCATGAACCACCGGGTCCCTGCCCACAAGAGGTACCAGCCCACGGAGTACGAACATGCGGCCAACTGTGCCACCCATGCCGTGAGTCAGCACTCGGGGAAGTGCGGACGCTGAGGGAGGAGGTGGGGGATGACACTTCCAGGTGGGGGTAGGGAAGGCAGCCTCCCCTACGTGGCCCTCAGAACAGCGAACAGGGTCTCAAGGGAAAGCTGTTTGGGTAAATTGGAGTGTGGTGTCTCTCTTTTGCTCTAAGAACCTTCCATGGCTCCCTAGTACCTAGTGCTACATCCAGACACTGGGTCAGGTCGGAGCCTGTAAGCCAGCCCCACCTCCCACCGCAGCACTGGTCCCCAGGCTCCTGCTGCTCAGAACCACTCCCTGCTTCCTGAGGGGAGAGCGGGCTCCGTGCCTTTCCACACACTGTTCCCGCTGCCTGGCATACCTGCCGTCTCCACCTCGGCCCACCCAGAACCCTCTCCATTAAAATACACCAGCTGTGTGGAATCGATTCCAACTCGTGGTGTCCCCGTGAGTCAGAGCAGAACTGTGCTCCGTGGGGTTTGGGGCGGCTGATGTCTCAGAAGATCACCAGGCCTTTCCGAGGCATCTCCGAGCAGATTCGAACCTCCAGGCTTTCGCCGGCAGCCCAGGGCGTTAACCGTTTGCCCCACCCTTGCTTAAATGTCTCCCACAAGCCTTCCCATACACCCAGATGCTGGTGCCCGCAGGCACCCGACTCTCATTAGCCTGCACTCTGTGAGCCGGGCGTGTGCCAGTCCACGCCTCTGCACTTAGCAAACGTTTCCTGGTGTCTGAACTGCAGAGGGGCGCTTACGCAGCCTCGCTGCGGGCGATGGGCTCCTGGGGTGTCAGGAAGCAGCTGGCACACTGAGGCTGGCTTCCGACGGGGCTGGTGGAGGTGATGGAGTGAACCCCCGGTGCTGCCTCCTTCTCTTAGACCCCAGGGGTCCATATGTGCTCGCCTGCTGCAAGCCCAGGCCTCCAGAGACAGGCAGCAGATGACATAACCAGGACTGGCTGGAGCTGATTAGCACCTAGCGTGCGGCCTGGGTGGGGCAAATGGTTTGCACACCACCACTAGCCTAAAGGTTGGTGGTTCGAACCCACCCAGTGGCACCATGGAAGACGGGCCAGGCAGTCTACCTCTGTAAAGACAACAGCCAAGCAAATCTTATGGAGCAGTTGTACTGTACAAAATGCAGGGTCGCCAGGAGTCCGACTTGACCCATGACGATGGGTTTGTTAGTGTGCGCCCGTGGGGGCAGTGGTGGTGGGATTCCTGGCTTCCGTGGGAGACCCGGGTTCGATTCTGACCTGAGACACCTCATACGCAGCCCCACCTGGCTGTCGGCGGAGGCTTCCGTGTTGCTCGGATGCTGGACAGGTTTCAGCGGAGCTTCCTGACTGGGACAGACTAGGTTGAAAGGCCTGGAGATTTGCGGAAACCCTGGGGGTCCCAAGGGTCCGACCCAGCACGGATCATGGGACGGTGCAGCGCCGGGTGGTGCTCTGTCCTGTTGCGCGTGGGGTTGCCTTGATTTGGGGGCCAACTCAGTGGCAGCTGAGAACAGCAAAGGAAACAGGGTTTTGTTTCTTAGCCTTTTTGCCAATTTCTTTAATGTCGGATATAATGAAAGACAGCTGGCATCTCTTAACCGACTTTTGCGTTCAATCTGTTTGGGCCACAAAACTTTAAAAAGTTCAATTTCTCCATGTCTCTGGCCACTTTTCAAGTGCTCAGTATCCACGTGGCTACCATACTGGACAGGAAGATCTAGAACCTTCTATCATGGCAGGAAGTTCTGCTGGAAGGCACTGGGTTAGAGGAAGGAAAGGAAGGTGGGGATGTGCGGGGCTCTGTGAGCATGTGTGTGCGTTTGCACGCACACACACACGTGGACACACACATGCACTCACAGACACGCACACGCACACGCTCTCGGCTGGGACCCTGCAGCACCTGTTCCCGCTCCCATTCCAGTTCTGGATCATTCCCAGCATCCTCGGCAGCTCCAACCTCTACTTCCTGTCAGACGACGACTGGGAAACCATGTCAGCCTGGATCTATGGCTTTGGCCTCTGTGGCCTCTTTGTGGTCTCCACCGTGTTCCACACCGTCTCCTGGAAGAAGAGTCACCTCAGGTACCACCTGTGTAGCCCACAGGAGGGGGAGCACGCCGGCTGGAGGGACTACAGTGGGCCGAGGGATGAGGACGTGTTCAACTGAGCACAGGGGCTCAGGGTGGCATGACCCTTGTGCTATCTTTGGGAGAGGATCAAGCTCCCGCTTGGTGTGGGCTGGGGTTGGGGCTCACCTGGGCAGAGCCCTGGACCTGTAGGTCCCTGGGTGACCCCGACGGTTTATGCTCAGTGACTAATTGAAGGTCCGTGGCTCCGATCCCCCTGGGGTGCTGCTGAAGGAAGGCCTGGTGATCTGTTTCCAGCAGGATCACGGCCTAGAGAACCCCTGGAGCACAGTTCTCCAACCAACAGCAGGACCCACAGTCGCTCACAAACGTGGCGCAGCTAGTGCTCTCGGCTAGTAACTGAGAGGGTGCCAGTTCACGTCCACCAGAGGGGCCTGGCAATCTGTCTCTGAAGGGCAGCCATTGGAAACCCTGCAGAGCGCAGGCCTGTTCTGCACACGTGCGGTGGGGGTTCTGGTTTTCGTCACCTGTGGGCAGGGACACCAAGGCCGGATGGCTGATGGAGGCACGGACTCCGAGCCCCGCCCACCCTCCGGGCCTGTGTGGGTCCAGGGCCCAGCCCAACCTTGCTGCCCAGGGCTGTAACTGCTGGCCTTTCGGCCCTAGGATGGTGGAGCACTGCCTGCACATGTCCGACCGGATGGTCATCTACTTCTTCATCGCGGCCTCCTACACACCCTGGTGAGTGTGAGCGGCCCCCTCAGGCCTTTATTCTAATGCATTTTATACTTGGGTGGGGACATAGCCACTTGCACAAAGGGTGAAGGTGTAAGGGTTCCCTCCATTGGCCCTACCCAAGGCCACTGCTAATTAGTTTCTTGTGTATGCTTCCAAATTCGTTCATTTCTGTATCTATCCACCCATCCATCTATCTATGTAATCTGTCTACCTGTCTACCTACCGGGGGGAGCTCTCTGGTAGCGTAGTGCCTAAGGCACTTGACTGCTAACCAGAAGGCTGGTGGTTCAAACCCACCAGCCACTCCTCGGAAGGAAGGTTGGGCAATCTACTTCTGTAGTGATACTGCCTTGGACACCCGAGGAGGGGTTGCTATGAGTCAGGTCCAACTCAACCACACATAACAAAAACAATCTACCTACCCACCCACCCACCTACCTACCTACTTACCTACCTACCTATCTCTCTCTTTATTTATTTTAGTGAGTAGTGCAAGAAGTTTGCATTCACCTACTGACCTAAAGGTTGTCCGTTTAAACCTGACCAATGGTGCCCTGTAAGAAAGGGCAGACAATCTGGTTCCATAAAAATTACAGACAAGACAGTTCTTGGGGCAGTTCTACTCATTTAGCCCATGGGGTTGCCATGAATCAGAATCGACTCCACGGCAACAGGTTTTTTTTTCTTATATACATACATATATAAATACAAAAGGAAATAACATGCGTTGATGTGATGATATACATCTATAAAATATTTATATTAAATATGTATTTACATATATAGTCGGTTCTCAGTATCCACGGTAGTTATGGAAACCAGTTCCTGGAGAGGGACATCATGCTTGGTGAAGCAGAGGTCAGCAAAAAAAGGACAACCTTCAGCAAGGTAGATTGACATAGTGGCTGCAACAGTGGGTTCAAACATAGCGCCCCTGGAGGACAGAGTGGAACTGCCCACAGGGTCTCCAAGGCTGTCAATCTTCACGGAACCAAAGCCCAAACCACACCCACTGCCTGGAGTCCATTCTGACCCACAGCACCCCTAGAGGACAGAGTGGAACTGCCCACAGGGTCTCCAAGGCTGTCAGTCTTCACAGAAGCAAGCCCAAACCACACCCACTGCCCTTCAGCACTGCATCAGGGGCCGCGGCAGACAGCAAAATCACCCAGAAAAGCACACAAAAGCCAAAACAGGTTACAGAGCAGACCGTGAACAGAACCCTTGTTTGCAGTAAGAGAGCTGAAGCGGAAATACCGAGCTTCACCTTGTTCCGCCTCAGCCCGCAGCGGCGTGGCAGTGACTTGAACTGTTCGTCACTCCACATGACCACAGAGGTGCCGCTGGTGTTGATTTGGGGCTTACAAATAAATATGGAATCCAAAAATAGTGAGTGACTGTATATACAAAGGGAGCTCTGGTGGCATAGTGCTTAAGGCATTTGACTGCTAACCAGAAGGCTGGCGGTTCAAATCCACCAGCCACTCCTCAGAAGGAAGATGGGGCAATCTACTTCCCTAGTGATTGTTGTTGTTGTTATGTGCCGTCGAGTGGGCCCCGACTCATAAGACCCCTCCTCCTTGGGTTGCGGAGGCAGCATCACTACGGAAGTAGATTGCCCAACCTTCCTTCCGAGGAGTGGCAGTGTCCTCCCAGGGAGGCGTGCTCTGAGGCCAAGATGGCCTTGGAAAACCAAGAAGGGGTTGCTATGAATCAGATCCAACTCCACAGCAGTGAATTTGGGTTGTTTTTCTTTTTGTATATACAAGAAGGAGCTCTGGTGGCACAGTGGTTAAAGCATTCGGCTGCTAACCAAAACTTTGGTGATTCGAACCCACCAGCCGATCCATGGGAGAAAGATGAGGCACTCCGCTTCCGTAGAGATTTATGGAAACCCTATGGGGCAGTTCTACTCTGCCCTTGAAGGTTGCTATAAGTTAGATATGATCCTATGGCAATGGGCTTTTTGTTTTGCTTTTTTAAATACATCCCAGTGCTGTGTTTTGCATCTTTGCTGGTCCCTCTTTTTGTTCCAAACAGCCTTTCTCAGATAACTCGTGGAGTTGGAGTTACTGGTCACAGGGTGTCTTAACCTGGCAAGACTGTAACCAAAAGTACCACACGGGGGGGGGGTGGTGGTCTCGGGAACAGGAACTTATTTTCTCACAGTCTTGGAGCCAAAAGGCCAAATCAGGGTCCTGGCCTTCTGTGGGCCTCTTCCCTAGTGGCTGGGCACCATCGGCCATCAGTGGAGTCCATGGCATCTGCCCCTCTCCCGCCCCTGTGAGTCTGTGTCAAATCTGCTCTTTTTATAATTTCTGGCGTGGGGTGGGACTCACCGACACTGCTGCGTCCTCATTAACACTACAAAACCAAGCCCCCATTTCCAAACAAGCCTATCCTGACCCAGGTCTCAGCCCATAACCCAGGGTAGACGGGTTTGATGGATTCTGCCAAATCGCCCTCAAAAAAGGTGTGACCAGTTCACACCCCACTCGCTGGAGACGCCTCCCCGTCCTGCTCACACACGTCAGTTTTACTGACTTTCCTCGAGTAACTGCTCAGTGTTTCAGTTTGCCCATTGCTCTCTCTGTCTCTCCACACGTCTTCCCATGAAAGCCTGTGTCCTACCAGGAGATCCACATGGGCCAGGATTTCTCTGGGTCACTTTTCCTGATGGGCCAGCCATCGAGGGTGGGGTCCCTGTGGACCCACCTCAGGCTGGGCCCTCGCTCTCTCTCCTAGGCTAAATCTTCGGGAGCTGGGCCCCTGGGCCGCCCACATGCGCTGGCTGGTCTGGATTATGGCCTCTGTGGGCACCGTCTATGTCTTCTTCTTTCATGAGCGGTAAGCCAGGCTGTGGGCCCCAGGTGGGCAGGGTGCCCCTGGAGAGAGTTCATAGGATGAGACCCCAGGGTGACAGCTATGTCTGGCCTCCCAGTGTCCAAGCCTATGGATGGTCCCACAGCCAACAGAGCCGATCTGAAGAGCTTTCTAAGATGACATCGTAAGTTCCTAGATCAGTGTCACCTGTGTGCCAGGTAGGCTGCCACTCTTGTCTAAGCTTGTGTCTTAGGCTCCTTTAGAGAAACACACAGGTGGTAAGACAGAGCGATACCTGCCAGCTGGGTGAAATGTGAGCCATGGGGCGCCAGACAGAGGGAAGGGTCCTTTCTTCTCACTCCTCAGAAACGGGGAGCTGAACGCTGCTTCCTCCCAGGGAGGCGTGCTCTGAGGCCAAGATGGCGTGTCTTCCTGCCAGGTACAAAGTCCTGGAGTTGCTGTGCTACGTCGTGATGGGATTTTTCCCAGCCCTGGTCATCCTTTCAATGGTAAGTTCCACGCCCCTAGCATCAAGTCTCACCCTTTCCTTGGCAGGCGGGGAAGCTGAGGCCCAGAGGGGCAGCGTGACTTGCCAAAAGAGGCAGAAGATCGTGGGGTTAATGCCAATGGCTCTTGAGTTAGACGGCCTGCCTTGTCCACCGTTACTCTCTGCCTAAGCTTGAGTGGGAGTCCTGGGTCTGTCAAACTGTGATACACACACAATGCCTATTCTGCATATTTAAATACATAACATACATGGAGATAGGGTGGCATAGTGGATAAGGCATTTGGTTGCTAACCAGAAGGTTGGCAGTTCAAACCCACCAGTCGCTCTGTGGCAGGTTGTTGTTGTTGTTGTTACGTGCCGTCGAGTCGGCCCCGACTCATAGCGACCCCTCCTTGGGTTTCCGAGGCAGTATCACTACGGAAGTAGGATTGCCCAACCTTCCTTCCGAGGAGTGGTTGGTGGGTTTGAACCGCCAGCCTTCTGGTTAACAGTCAAGTGCTTTTAGCCACTATGCTACCAGAGCTTCTGTGGCAGGAAGATGGGGCAATCTACTTGCATAAAGATTTATTGCCTCGGGAACCCAGTGGGGTCGCTATGAGTCAGAATTGACTTGATGGCAGTGAGTTTTTATATATATATATATGAAATGTATATGTGGGATACTTTTTTAAAATAATATTTTATTGTATTTTTAGTGAAGGTTTGCATAGCAGTTTGGGATCCCATTCAACAATTTCTCCACAAGTTGTTCAATAACGTTGGTTACATTCCTCACAAGGCATGAGCATTCTCATTACTTCCACTCTGGTTGTCCTGTTGCCATTCATCTAGTTTCCCTGTGCCCTTAGCTTCTCATGTTTGCTTTAATTATTGACTGCTTGCTTATATGTGCCTCCCAAAACAAACCCACTACCATTGAGTTGATTCCAACTCAGAGTGACCTTACAGGATAGAGTAGAACTGACCCATAGGTCTCCAAGGCTGTCGATCTTTACAGAAGCAGACTGCCTCATCTTTCTCCCACAGAGAGGCTGGTGGTTTGAACCACCGACCTTTTGGTTAGCAGCCAAATGCTTTAACCACTGCATCACCAAAGCTCCTCCTGGTTATACATAAACTCACTGCCATCGAGTCGATTTCGACTCACTGTGACCCCCTTTGGGTTTCCGAGGCAGTAAATCTTTACGGAAGTAGATTGCCTGGTCTGCCTTTCATGGAGTGGCTGGTGGGTTTGAACTTCCAACCTTCCGGTTAGCAGTCTAATGCCTTAGGCACTACGCCACCAGAGCTCCTTGGTTATATATAGTAAATGTATATTTAAATACATGCTCATTGCAAAAAATAAGTCCAGTATGGAAACATATAAAAGGGTGGAAACCCTCCTTTAATCCCCCCAATACCACACCACAACCACAATCACCATTCATTGTTCATTGTGTACTGTGTCAGTTTTTACTTATATGTGAATGTATGTGGCTGTGCAGACATACGTTGGCTTTACAAAAACAAGGTCATGCAACACGCTTCTCTCAGTCACCCCTGTGCTGTGGACATTTTTCCAATGAGAGTCACTGGGGGGTACCTGCCTCGTGGGCTGTGTGGAGATGACACTGGCGGACTCATGTGAGGCACTCGATAGGTTGCCTGCCTGCTGTACAGTGAGTGCTGAAACATGTTGGTGTTACTACTGTTGAGTGCATCGTCATGGCTGCTGCCAACCCACCTCACTGGCCTCTCCCAAACTTGATGTCCTTTCGGACGTAAGCTCACCAGCGGGTCCTGAAGGAGGCACAGGACTGGTCAGCATTTCCTTCCTATTGTGTATAAGGGGGCTGTGAGTTGGAGCTGACAGGACAGCAACTAACACCGTTATTAATGTTACTGTGTCCTTAACATCCAACGGCAGTCCTCCTGGGGACTGAGTAAGACGTTGAGCATACGCACAATGAAATACTATCCAAAGATCCAGAGAGGAAGGTGGATCTGTATGTGGAAGGGCTTCCAAGAGACTTCATTTCACGGCTGGAACTCTGGCACAGTGATTAAAGCATTTGGCTGCTAACCAGAACGTTGGTGGTTTGAACCCACCAGCTGCTCTGTGGGAGAAAGATGAGGCAGTTGCCTTCCTTAAAGATAGATTACAGCCTTGGAAACCCTGTGGGGCAGTTCCACTCTGTCCTCTAGGGGCGCTGCGGGTCAGAATGGACTACAGGCAGTGGGTGTGGTTTGATCTTTGCTTCTGTGAAGATTGACAGCCTGGGAGACCTTGTGGGGCAGTTCCACTCTGTCCTCTAGGGGTGCTGTGGGTCAGAATGGACTCCACGGCAGTGGGTGTGGTTTGATCTTTGCTTCTGTGAAGATTGACAGCCTGGGAGACCTTGTGGGGCAGTTCCACTCTGTCCTCTAGGGATGCTGTGGGTCCTAATCAACTCCAGGGCAGTGGGTATGGTTTGGGCTTCGCTTCTGTAAAGATTGACAGCCTTGGAGACCTGTGGGACAGTTCCACTCTGTCCTCTAGGGGCGCTGTGTGTTGGCATCAACTCGATGGTGGTGGGTTTTATTTTATGAAAAATCGAACTGCAGAATGCATGAGCCTAGTCATCTAAAAATGATTAGCTTCTACCCAAATCACAATAAAAAGTTAAAAAATAATCGTAATAAATTCAAGTTTAAAAAATTAAACAAGATCCTCTAACAAAGTCAAGGAATGTATCCAACATTAATGACAATAAGTAGTGATGATGGAAGATACATATTCCCAGAACTAGATCCCTTTCTTAGGAAGAGACCACTTGCCGAGTGGGCACTGCTATTAATCCCTCCTGTTAGCATTCAATGGGCAGCCACCAGTTAACTAGATCTCTGCAAGTACCTAAGACTTTTATCTCATTCAATTAATATTTCCTGAGCACCTGCTGCGTGCCACGCACTAATGACTATGACACTGTGACACCAGACACCTTCCTGGTCCTTCTGGAGCTGATTATATCATGAGAGCCAGACTTAAGAAAAAAGTTCCTATGTGTGTATCCGTACATACGCAGGGTATGCTGTGTATTTTAAGTGTATAGGAAATTTCTGGAAGGATAATGAAAAACCACTGTTAATGGCAGTTACCTTTGGGAGGTGGATGGAGGGAGTTGGAGGAGGCTGGCAGACTCCTTCCTGCTTAATTCTCACCCTTTCTGCTCAAGTTCTTACCAAAATCCACTCAAATGTTAAGAGTGGTTGTCTCTGCAAGACGAGATTACTACTTTCACCTTACTACTTTTTGTTAGTTTTCTCTAATTTTTTTTTTGAGGGGGCATGTATTACTTTTTAGAAAAGATATGAAGCTACAATTCTCTGAGGTTTTGATAAAAATGTTTTCTAGTGAGAATGAATTTGGGGGGAATTGGCAACATTCCGACGTTGGGACTCGCCATCTGGGACTCCGGGATGGTTCGCCACCCACATCTGTACAGTTTAGCGTGGGTGGTGGGGGGATGGCCGGGTTGCTCTTCTCATGTGCACCCCACCCTTGTTCTTGCCGACAGCCCAACACCGAAGGGATCTGGGAGCTGGTGACCGGAGGGCTCTTCTACTGCTTGGGCATGGTGTTCTTCAAGAGTGACGGCAGGATCCCCTTTGCCCACGCCATCTGGCATTTGTTTGTGGCATTTGGTGCTGGTACCCACTACTATGCCATCTGGACATACCTCTATCTGCCCAGCACCCTGCAGGCCAAGGTGTCCAAATGAGGGGTCCGGACTCCATGGTGCATTGGGACTCTTGGAGCAGAACAGCATGGAAAGTGCTTCTGAGAACTTTGGTCCATACCACAGTGCCCATGCCTGCCTGCCCTCCCATGGGCAGAGCTATTTATGGGTCCGAGTTTACTTCTGGTGACAGCCAGCCAGACTGTCCCTCTGGTCCCAGGAGAGAAAGCAGACATTTAGAAGAGAAATTAACCCTGTAATTTGTTTCTGTTTTAGACAACTGTTTTGTAATACAGCCAACATTAACATCTTCAGAAAGGGGACCGGGCACTGTCTTGGCAAATTGAGGACAGATGAGCCAATATTTGGTTCTTGAGGTCCTGAGAAATCAGGCGAGGAGCCTGCTGGGTTGTTTGCACTTGGCTGGTCAGGGTCTCCTCTGGCTAGAGGTTGTCCCCTGTTTAGGGAAAGCCATCCACCTGGTTGATCAGGGTTGGGGGATATCTGTGACCATGGAAGACATTACCAATCAAGTGCAGCATCACTTCTGTGGTTTCAGAATGCTTTTCCACATAGGGCTCCAGGCAGACCGTACCAGACGATTTGGTCGTGAGGGAACCTCATTGTCTTTCCTGCCGTGGTGGGCTTAGAAGTGAGCAGACCAGTTAAATGTCTGCGCGTGGGGGACCGCTCTCATCCCCCTCCTGACACCTTCTCTTCTCGCTCCCCTTTCCCTTTTGGGGAAGCCCTTGGTGTGGGGCAGTTTGAAGGAGACCAGGGCACCCACTCCCACCACCCCCTGTGGTTCTGCTCCTCCGTGGCTGGTCCTCAGTCCAGGGGAGAAGTGAGCAGCTGGGAATGGCAGCTTTACTTGGCCATTTCTTCTCAGCCCGAGAAGTCCAGAGAAATCGTGACAGCACTCCCAAAGAGGGGGCAAGAAGGTCCCTGGGAACGTGCTCACTTGTTCCATGTTTAGGGCTGGTGATGCTGACATTGCATTCTCCCTGGGGGCCAGTCAGCTCACCAAGGCCACTTGCTTTCCCAGTCTTTCCCTCTGGCGGGGAGAGGGAAGGTCTTAGCCACACTTGAACAGGGATCTGAGCAGAGTGTCGGGGTACCCCCAAGCTTGAAGTCCCCCGTAGCACAACAGTCAGGTTTCTTTCAGGGGTGTGGGTCGTGGGAGAGGGGGCTGTCCTCCTAGGCCCTTCCCCAGGCTGGGCTCAGCCCCTGTAAAGTGCCATGTGGACACTTAACAGGGAGGGGTGTGGCAGGCCTGGCTCTGGGACCCAACTTAGAATCCTAGAATCTCTGGGTAAACAATCTGTCTTGAGTCAGACAGACCTTGTTCTATGACTCCCACCCAACGGGAGGTGGGTGAGGGTGGGCCAAGAGATGTCTTAAGCTTAGCTCTAGTACATTCCAGGGCATTCTGGCATCTGGAACCCTTTATGTCCCAGTCAACATTACATCTTTGACACATTGCTAAGATACATGTGTTCTTAGCTGGCAGACGGGTTGGGGATAGGGTCTCTGTGTTTGTGTGTGTGTATGTGTGTGTGTGTACATAGACACTACCTACCCCCAGAAGTGGCCTGCCTTTGGTCAGCCTGCCCTGTGGAGCTCACCAAGTATTTCCCATCAGTAGGGGTCAGGGTCGGAGGTCCAAGAGGGAGAGGAAGTTCTATAATGGAGGTCGGGGGGCTGGGAAGGGGCTCAGTCCGGATAGGGGCAGAGGCATTGTGACTTGACCTGTAGCTGGGCCTGAGGCCAGGGTCGACAGCTGACCAGCAACTGAGGAGGAGCCACGTTGGCTCCTGGGGTGCTGTGGGAAACCTCCTGAAGCATGGTACCATGCCAGGCTGCAATCAACGCCTGCCATTGAGATGCTGAAGGGACCAGGACCTGCACTGAGTGGTTTCCCATGGGATTTCTTAAGTGGCCCCACAGCCTCAGCTGAACTCCTAAGTCTGATATCTGCACCTCCCTGTGCCCCCTTAGGAGCTCTGGTAGCATAGTGCCTAAGGCACTTGACTGCTAACCAGAAGGCTGGCGGTTCAAACCCACCAGCCACTCCTCGTAAGGAAGGTTGGGCAATCTACTGCCGTAGTGATACCACCTTGGAAACCCAAGGAGGGGTCGCTGTGAGTTGGGTCTGACTCAATGGCACAGAACAACAGCTGTGCCCCCTTCACCTCGCTATTCCATCTTCTTGGATCCCCCTCAAGACCCCTTAGTGCCTTCCAACCTTTTGAGACTTTGGTCCCCTGCAAGGTACCAGCGAGAGTCCCCACATCCCAAGGTGCCTCGGCCTCTTTGGTTGTCCTACTGGAGGTTTGCTGTACTAAGCGTGTAGTCGGTCGCGCTGTCAGTGATGTGCTCAGCTGCTAACTGCAAGGTTGGTAGTTCGAGTCTACACAGACTATTGGTAGACGAGGTCACGTGCACGGGTACTGGGGGTGGGACTCAAAGCTGTTTCTTGGGGGGGGGTGTGTATACACGATTCAACCCCCAGTGGCCATAAAGCAAACTGATGGCTTAAATCAGTGGCCTCAGGCTGGCTCTCCCAGGGGAGAGTCTGTACCAGCGGAGCACAGAGCCTGAGCTGGTGGGCTGGGCTGGCTTGAGTTGGCCCCAGAGACCCCTCCCAGCCTGAGCCGAGGTCTGCTGGGAGAGGAGGGGGTTGTGGACACAGCTGCTCCCAGGAGAAATGCTGAGACCCTCCTCCGTGCATAGACACCTGATAGACACACTGTAGGGAAATCACTGAGAAACACCGGTCACCTAGAGGTGTGCGTCCAATATGGCAGCCATGAGCCACATGCGGGAGCCTGGTGGCACTAACGGTCAAGCGCTCGATGACTAGCTGAATAATTGTTGGTTCGAACCCATCTAGAGGGACTTGGAAGAAAGGCTGCTGGTCTGCTTTCCAAAGGTGAAAGCCCTGCAGACCCGGCTCTGTTCTGTGCACCTGGGGTCACCCCAAGTCGGCAGCTAGCAACAGCAATGCACTGCCTTTGACCCCGAATCCATTAAAGTCCCATGTTGTTATGTGCCGTCGAGTCATCCCGACTCATAGCAACCCCTCCTTGGGTTTCTGAGGCGGTATCACTACCAAAGTAGGTTGTCCAACCTTCTTCCGAGGAGTGCCTGGTGGGTTTGAACCGCCAGCCTTGTGGTTAGCAGTCAAGTGCCTTAGGCACTATGCTACCAGAGCTCCTACAGAGAGAAAAATTTGGTTCCTGTGTCTCGCTCGCCACGTTTAAATGCTCAGTCGTCACACGTGGCTGTGGCTGCCATGTCAACAACACCAGATGCAGACCAAGTCCACTGTCGCAGACGGTTCTGTTGGGTAGCGCAGACAGAGCGGTGGGCTGTGGTCTCAGCACCCCGCACCTTCCGGAGAATTACCAAGGACCCCAAGGCCCTGGTAGCGGTGGGGATGTTATCTGTTCATGTTGGTCATGCTAGAAATCAGGATGGGGAAGATTTCAACACATTTTGTTACTTGTTTAAAGGTAAACCCGTACATATTGACGTAAGTAACTTTCTTCTATGAAAAATAACAGCATCTTTCCAAACACAGAATTGGGGGGAAGAAGGGCAATGTGTTTGCATTTTTGAGAACTCCTCTAGTGAATGCCTGGGGTGTCCTTTGTGCTTCTGATTCCAGATGCCTGTGATTTCACACATCATGGAACTTCTGGAAAATTCCACTGTGCGCTCATTAGAAAGGAGAAAAGACAAGTCATGTCCTTGGGTTAACATTACCCAGAACCCCCCACCCCAGAGAACCACAGTTTTGTTTTGTTTTTTAACTATATTGTTTTCTTTTACTGCAGAAGGTTTTATGTCCTACTGGGGTTGGGGGAACTTCTGAAATATTTTCCATGTTATTTCAAACCCTTTGTAACCACTATTTTAAAGGTCTGCGTGGCACAGCTAAAGCACAGTATATTAAACTTGCAGTTTATTAAACTATTTTTTTAAATTTAAGATCTACAGGCATGTGTTTGTGGTGACCTTTGGACATAGCTTTCCCCTGTATTTCCCTTAAAACCGAAAAACCAAACCCACTGCCATTGAGTCAACTCTGACCCACAGCAGCCCCCACTGGGTTTCCAAGGTGGTGAACCTTCACAGAAGTGGATTGCCCGGTCTTGTTGCCATATCTCCCTTAGCCAGCCTTGAAAAGCTCACTACAATTTGCCTCACGTGGTCTGTGCCACCCAGCTGAGGTTGTCATTCAGCCCAAGGCCACTGTAGCCACCATTCCTACCATTGGCCACTATCCCCTTCCTCTGTGGGAGTCTGGACATCCAAGAACCTACCACTGGGGCACTGCCCAAGGGCTGGCTAAGCTGGGAGGCTTAGAACAGTCACTTCTGGGAGGAGGCACGAGTTGTGGAGGAAGGAAAGGGGGCCGTGTGCCTGCAGCGCGGGTGGTCTTGTCGGTGGGGAGAAGAGGGAGGTGTGGTTTGTGAAGGGGATGCTGCTGGAGGCAGGGTCAGGAGCCTCATGGGACTAGGAGACCTCATCCCATCTAATGGGAGATGAGATGGAGTGTGGGAGGTGTTCTCTACATGTTACAGGGCCCTGGACACCGACTGTCAGGTATTCTGGACTTTTTCAAGTTGTGCAACTGCTTGTAGCATGCAATTGGCCACCGTGAGAATATTTACACCATGGAAATTGGCAGATTCTGCAAATCAGAGTTGATTTAGAAGCTCTGGTGGTACAGTGCCCAAGGCACTTGACTGCTGACCGGAAGGAAGAGTGGGCAATCTACTTCCGTAAAGATGTCCTACCTCAGAAACCCAGAGGGGATCACTCTGAGTCGGAATCAACTCGTCGGCAGTGGGTTTTAGTTTTCCAGCACGGGCTTCCCTGCAGCCTACATATAAAAACCACAAACCTGACCCATTGCTGTTGAGTCAATTCCAGCTCATGGTGACCCTGTATGTTACCGAGTGGGACCACTCCATCGGGGTTTCTGGGCTGTAATCTTCGTGGGAGTGGATTGCCAGGCCTTCTTCCCCGGAGTCACTGGGTGGGCTTGAACAGCCGACCTCAGGTGAGCAGGTGATGGCAAACCTCTTGTGCCATTTGTTGTTGGTGGGTGCCGTTGA